ACGACTACATCGCACTTTGATAACAATGAGGATGTAAGATACACAGATAACGAAGAGAGAAACTGCATAAAATGGGAGATACAAGTAAGTATTAATTACCTCGGAATAACCAATTTCCAATAGGAAAATTTGGGCGACTTCTCTAACAATAGCTATTAACCAAATGACAATAATTATGGCTCTATAAACCCATTTCCTCACAAAGCGATGCCTGAATGGACAAAATGTTGCGTGTAGCCGTTCTAAGGAAATAGCAATGAGATTTGTAAGGGAAGTGAAATAGAATAAATGTAAAAATAAAAAAGATAAACGATGAGACTAAAGAGTATTTCGTCTGTAATTCCATAGAGGACAGAGCCACTCCATTTTTATTTCAATCTGCAGCGGCCCAGAGACTGCGCCCACCAAGACATCGACTATCGCCTGATGGATGATCAAATATGTACTCCGCCGCTGAAGCTGACGCTTCTTCTTCACAAAAACAGCAATGGTGATGATATTAAGGATGACAATGGCCAGACATTCGATGATGAGGACCACAAGCCATGGAATGCACTCTGAAGCTGAGGAGAAAGGCTCCATTTTCTCCGACCTCTGTTAGCTGCCATAAAAATAACAGAAAACAGTTCAATTAGAGATAAAATGAAATACAAATTCAATATTCTCAATAAAGAAATATGTCAAATATTACTTTTTACGCTTCTTTAACGTGTTTTGAAAAACTTAGCTTCGTCCATTAACTTAAACTGATCCTCATGCTTCTTTATGCGAGATTCATATTCGGAAATTTAATCATTTAGCCTGTTCCTGCTTTTTATTTCGATAAAGGCGCATTTAATAATATAAAAATTTTTCGATATTCACTGAATAAGCAGAAAGCTTTGCCACTAGTGATCTCAATTGCTTGAACGAAATTTAAAGCCTCCAAAAACAGACGGCGACATAAATTTAAAGATCTTCTGGAAATACAGTAGAAAGACTGAGTAGAAAGACCTGCTCCTCTTCTCGGTGCCGCTTTTAGAAATACGGTTGTTGTTGTTATCGCCTTGAAAATTTCAAAGAAAAATTAACTGTAGATGGGTTGAAATATTAATAACATTTTAAAAGGAAAAACATCTCTTATGTTTTATTTTCGACACCCGGAAAGTTTAATCATTGTCTATTCTCACTTCCGATAAATTTCTTCCTTTGTCAATATCATAAGCAACAAACTAGAGAAAGCGGTCTTTTTCGTCGCGTTACTGACGATCATTAAGATTATCAATGACATATTTCCGTCCATATTGATTCAGTTTTCCTCATCACATCAAAAGCAGAATTTGCGAACGAATCTTAAGAATATTTTGAACTTGCCTTACTGATAACGAAAGTGTTTCTAACCTTTAACGAATTGAGTTTAAGTCAAATGCAGAAAGGGCGGTTTTCAAATAGAAAAGAAAGCAGCATGCTGAGGAAGAGTGCAATGCTGACTAAACTTACCAGTTTTTTCGAATTACCATAGCAACAGAATTATATTTGCTACCTTTCTTTTGTGCTTTGACTCAATTTCATGTTCCTATTTTTGGGTGCAATATATATCCGGAAGTTTGAAATACTTTGAGTAAACTAAAGCCTTTATACAATAGATCTCAGTTGCCTTAATCGTTTAATAAGTATCATTAGAAACAAACTAAAATATTCGACATACTTGTAAAAGATTGTCGATGTGCGTAAATAAGATAACAAAGATGGCAAGAGGGGATCTAGTCCTCTCTTTAACATGGTAAATGTTGTACTCGGCAATGAAACTAAGAAAGATCTTTTCATCGTCTCGTCACGAAAGAGTAACGAAGGCTGAGAAGCAACAGGCTTTTCACAAGAGGTCTCAAATTCATCAACTGTTTCATAAGCAATAAAAGAAGGAAAAATAGCTAAAATTCTAAAATTTTTCACGGGCTGACAAGGATTTTCCATAACTCCTCTCCACCCATTTTACTTGGTTTTACCTCATCTCACCGATGTCAGAGTTTGTAAACGATTGAAATCTTATGAACATACCTCACTGATAACGAAGTACTTCGTATCCTCTTAAAAATAAGTTGGAGTCAAATTTAACCGAAGGTGGTTTTTCCAATGAATAAGAAAACAACAAGCCAAGGAATAGTGATAGAGAATAAGCACA